GGAGGAGGAGGACGAGGAGGAGGAGGAGGAGGAGGAGGAGGAGGAGAGAAGGAGGAGGGGGAGATGATGATGATGATGATGATGATGATGATGATGATGATGATGATGATGATGATGATGATGATGATGATGATGATGACGATGATGATGATGATGATGATGATGATGATGATGATGATGATGATGATGATGATGATGATGATGATGATGATGATGATGGATGATGATGATGATGATGATGATGAGGAGGAGGAGGAGGAGGAGGAGGAGGAGGAGGAGGATGAAGGAGGAAGTAAGGGAGATGATTAGTCAGGGCAGAAAACGAAGAGGACGAGAAGACGTGATAAGGATACGGTCAGGAACTTTTGGATAGCGTTTCGCCCCAGCTGCCCCTGCCACACGCTACGGTCGGTAACTTTTGGATAGCGTGTCGCTCCGGCGGCAGCTGCGATACGCTATCGCCACCAGGGCGATAGCGTGTCACACTTTTTCGTGGGGCCGGATGCCCCGAAATGCTGGAGACGGGGTCCTTGGGAGGCCGGGATGGCGATAGCGTGTGGCACCAAAACGCGGTGGGCCCAAACTGGCGAGGCGGCGCGTTATCCATCAGTGCCCGACCGTATCCACTGAGAGCGGATAGCGTGTCGCACCTCCCCGCGGGGCGGGAGGCCCCGATCGGCTCGGGAGGTGGACCCTCGGGGCCCAGAGTGGCAATGGCGTGTCACACCTAAACTCCGTGGGCCCCAACCCGAGGAGCGACACTTGACCCACAAGTTCCCGACCGTAGGGGGGGGCAAGGGGGTCGAGGAGAACGAGGAGGACGAAATCGTCATCGTCGCCGTCGCGGGGAATGACAACAAGATCGCTCCAGACTCGGCCTCGGAGGCGGGGGGGAGGGAGGAGGAGGAGGACGAGCAGGAGGAGGAGGAGAAGGAGGAGAAGGAGGAGGAGCAGGAAGAGGAGGAGGAGGAGGAGGAGGAGGAGGAGGAGGAGGAGGAGGAGGAGGAGGGAGGAAGGGAGGGAGGGAGGGAGGGAAGGAGGGACGGAGGAGAGGGAAAACGATAAGAAATAGGAGGAGAGGAAGGAAGAGGAGGAGGCCAAGAGGGTGGAGAAGGATAAGGATGGAGAGGAGAAGCAGGAAGAGAGGAGGAGGGAAAGGAGGAGGAGGAGAAGGAGCGGGAGGGTGGCTCCATGCAGTCCTCAAGCGTCGCCATACAGTCAAGACGGCTGCCCACTCTGGTCCAGAGATCTTCCCTGGGACCCGATCTTTATCACGTGTCGACGTTTGCTGACTCCCGAGGCCCGGAGAAGGCCTCCAGAAGCCGGAAACTGTCCAAAAGTCACGTCTCAAATTTCTCGAGACATCGGAGGTCAGGGCTCGGTCTCGAAAGGGGGAGGAGGAATAGGAGGAGGAAGAGGAGGAGGAGGAGGAGGAGGAGGAGGAGGAGGAGGAGGAGGAGGAGGAGGAGGAGGGAGGAGGAGGAGGAGGAGGAGGAGAGGAGGAGGAGGAGGAGGAGGAGGAGGAGGAGGAGGAGGAGGAAGGAGGAGGAGGAGCAGGATGAGGAGGAGGAGGAGGAGGAGGAGGAGAAGGAGGAGGAGGAGGAGGAGGAGGAGGAGGAGGAGGGAGGGGGAGAAAGAGGAGGAGGAGGAGGAGGAGGAGGAGGAGGAGGAGGAGGAGGAGGAGGAGAGGAGGAGGAGGAGGAGGAGGAGGAGGAGGGAGGAGGAGGAGGAGGGGAGGGAGGAGGAGGAGGAGGAGGCGGAGGAGGAGGAGGAAGAGGAGAAGGAGGAGGAGGAGGAGGAGAAAAGAGGAGGAGTAGGGAGGAGGAGGAGGAGGAGGAGGAGGAGGAGGAGGAGCAGCAGCAGGAGGAGCAGGAGGAGGAGGAGGAAGAGGAGGAGGAGGAGGAGGAGGAGGAGGATTTACCCCTCCCCTTGGGCCCTTGGGCCTACCTACCTTGGACTCGACCAGGACGGGGGGAGGGGAGGGTAGCTGGAGCGCCCAAGATCCAAGATTGCCGAAAGCCCAAGGTGGCTCCACGAACACACGAGCGCACTGGGCCTCGGACATCCCAAACTAGAGGATGGCCTCCGAAATGGCTCTGGAAGCCGCAAGCAAGATGCCTCAGCATTCGACTCGACTCAGGATCGTTCCCAAGATGCCAGAGGCCCCGAGAGTAAGAACGCCCCACGGAATCTACAGCAAGCTAGAGCCCTCCGAAAGCACCAAAGCCAAGAAGCACAACCTGCAGTCACCCTCGGAATGCGAAAAGTCTCGTATTACCCCTCACACGTTTCGCAACCGTATCACACGTAACACAAGTGTCGCTGGACACTTCGGCACAGCCCTCGCATCTCAAGTTCGGCGCGCCCCTCGCACATGTCGTGGTCCCATCATAACTCTGTACATGGTAAAACGCACCAGTATGGACGCACTGCTACTACCACTATTCGCATTGCTACCTCTAGTGGCATTATGTCTATCACGACAACATGAATACCAACATTGTTATTACTACAACAACTACACTTACTAGTTGCATTACTACTTCTAGGCATAATACGTTAAACTGACACTGACACTACAACTATAGATATCAGTGTTGCTAGTTTACTTACACGCACTATCACATTTACGAGTGCGGTTGCTATTCATATTACTATTACTGTTGCTATTGCTACTGCTATGGCTAATTCTCGTAAAACGTGTATTAGTATTACTTGTGCACATGCGTTTCACGATTACTATGTATTACTATTGTACTAATACCGTTAGTAATATTACAGCATTCTTTTATATATAGTATACAAATAGTGCACAACGGTGTAGTATGATGATTAATATTGATATAACCATATGAAAGCTAGTATTACCATTACCAATATATTATACACACTATTGGTACGAATAAAGTATTGTTATTGGATTACTAAGCTTATTCATAGTAATACTGCGACGACCATACGTTTGCTTAAGTTGTTTCGAATTTGTGTTGTTTTTGTTTTGCATTTGTCATTTGAATGTATAACATAATTGTAAAATTATTTGGTATTTTGATTTGAATTTGTTTTTGCTTTTGAATTTTGATTCGAATTTTGATTTGATTTTTTTCTGCATTCCGAGGATGACCATCTTACGCCTAATTGGAAGACCTAAATCTAGAACATTGCCCCCCGAAGAAAAAATCGAAAGTGATTCCACATTCGGTGTCGATTCGCTTGTTTTTTGGGCCGCAGGAGCCCCCTAGGGCGTCGCCAAGCCATGCTATGTTAAGCTACGCGTCCTCATTTCCGCACTTCCGCGGTTGTTGCTTTTCAAAACGTTGCTCTCGCTGAAGAGCTGGCCTCATGTTCAGGCTACCGCTCGTTCCGAATCGTGCTCCCGCAAAAGCGCCTGCCTCATGTTCAGGCTACCGCTCGTTCCGAATCGTGCTCCCGCTGCAGTACTGGCGTCATGATTTCCAGCGCCATGCCATGGCATGGTGTTCGGTCCTTCCAGACATGCCCCAAAATCTAGAACATTGCCCCTGGAAGAAACCATCGGAAGTGATTACACATTCGGTGTCGGTTCGCTTGGTTTTTGGGCCGCAGAAGCCCCCCCCCCACTTTGGGGCGTCGCCACGCCATGCCATGTCAGGCAACGCGTCCTCATTTCCGCGCTTCCGCGCTTGTTGCTTTTCAAAACGTTGCTCTCGCTGAAGAGCTGGCCTCATGTTCAGGCTACCGCTCGTTCCGAATCGTGCTCCCGCAAAAGCGCTGGCCTCATTTTCGCACTTCCGCTCGTTCCGAATCGTGCTCCCGCTGCAGCACTGGCGTCATTATTTCCAGCGCCATGCCGCGGCATGGTTTTCGGTCCTTCCAGGAAGGCCCCGAAATCTAGACAATGTAGACAATGCCCACCCGGAAGCAACCATGCATATGTTTTGGCCGCAGAAGCCCCCCCCCCACTATGGGGCGTCGCCACACCATGCTGCGTCATGCTACGCGTTGATCTTCAACACCATGCTTTGCCGTGGGATGCTATGCCATGCTACGACCTCCGATTGTGCGAATAGGAAGGAGATCTACGCCATGGTAAGGGATGGGAGGGAGAGGTAGGACGTCAGATTGACGCGAGCGCACCTAGCTTGTCCTCCCCCCTCCCCCTCCTCCCCCACCTCCTCCTCCTCCTCCTCGTGGATTCTTTCTGTAGAAGAAGGACAAACTGCGTAAGCATGCACGTCCGAAGGTCCGTGTGGACTTGTCGGATCGGCGCTGGAGGCGCCGCCGAGGGGGTCAGCGCAGACCCGAGGGATCCACGCAGCCCTTCGCAAGCTTGACTTCCGAACGGTGCTTGCGCCTGAAGGTCATACTTGGCCTCCTTGCGTGATCGGACGGGTCCGTCGATGACTCTCCACGTTCCCGCCCGCGGGTGCTCGTGGGCGCCACGTGCCCTGGGTGGGTCCGCCGAGGAATTCGCCTGGTGCCCGCCCGCCCGTTGGCGCTCGTGAGCGTCCCGTACTCCGGGTGGGGCGTGCGCAGCCTGGCTCGGCACAGCTTGCAACGCATAGCTCTCACGGCACACCTCACGTCGCATAGGTCACACAGCATGGCTTGCACACCATGGCTCGCACCACGTAGCTTGCAGAACACAGCTGGCAAAACATAGCTTGCACCACAAAGTTCAAACCACACAACTTGCGCAGCTCAACTAACGCCACACAGCTTACTCCGCACAGAGTTCTCCTCCACATTTCAATAACTCACTGTTTGGGGATCCAAGCTGGCCGCTTGTTTACTCAAGGTCTGGGACTCTTGCATCGTGTGCCGCGGCAGCGGCCCCGGCGGCACACTATGCCCTGCGAGCGTATGGCGTGTCGCTACGCTCCGCGGGGCGGGAGGCTGGAAACAGCTTGGGGCGTTGACGCCCGGGGACTGGGACGTGGACGGCCTGTCGCGCCGAATCGTGGTGGGCCAGAACGGGCGGCGCGACACGCTGAGCCAAAGTTCCCGGCCGCAAGCAGTTTTGATTCTTCGATTCCGCGGGTATGAACGAGCGACGCACGGAGGACGGCGGCAACGACGAGGCTGGCCGCAAGCCACGGCGGCCTGGCTGCTCACAGGGCGCGCGCCGGAGGTCCCGCGGCGCCCCGTGCTAAGGGGGGGTGGAGGGACGATGGCAAAGGGAGGAGGGGGGAATGACGAGGTGAGATGAGATGAGGCAGCGGCTTGAAGCCAGTGGCAAAATGACGAGGAGGAGGAGGAGCATAAGGAAGAGGAGCAGGAGGCGGCATGGAGGAGAACGGATTGCGGCGGCGGAGCGGTGACGGGCCGAGTGGAGCAAATCTACGACTATACACCATTACGAATGAGGAGGGATGGCGGAGGAGGGGGAGGAGGAGGAGGAGGAGGAGGAGGAGGAGGAGGAGGAGGAGGAGAAGGGAAGAAGGAAGGAGGAGGAGGAGGAGGAGGAGGAGGAGGAGGAGGAGGAGGAGGAGGAGAGGACCTTCATCTTCCCTCCTCGTTCAGCCACCGTCCAGGATCGAGGCTTTGGGCGCTGCTACCAGGTAGCAGTGAGCATCCCCGGGACTGCAACCAGACGCGTCGCCCCACCGCAACAGGACTGCAGCGGGCGCGGCCGTGTCGCCTTGGCCTAAGGCCGACGCTGCTCTCCTCGAGGGCCTTCTGCTACGGCACGGACGCGCGGGCCAGAGCCCGCCTGGCATCGACGAGCCAGGTCCCAGCGGGCCAGAGCTCGAGTTCTGCTCAGGCTCTCAGCAGACCGACACACAGTGAGGAGTCAACACAGTTCCATGGAGCACGCGTCACAGCCAAGACAATGGGCGCGAGCGCAGTGCAGCACACATGGACATGCTCCTCATGTGGTGCGTCCAACTGGCAATCTTCGAGATGGTGCGTAAGATGCTACCCGCTCGTTGGTGGTGCCAGACGGCGTGGCAGATCCTTCTCTCGTCAGCCCTCGGCGCGGGATAGTTCACCAGGGGCCCTCCTGCCACAGCAGGACGCAGCCGACTCTGGACATGCAGCATCCACGACGCCAAGTTGAGTCCTGTCCATCCTTCTTGCCAGGCTCGAAGCTGCTCGAGGCCACTCTTGTTGGGTCGACACAAAAGGGAGGACATAAAGAACTTACCATTCAGAGGAACCAGATAAAGACGACGCTGACCGCGCTGGAGTCCGCCATCGTCAGCCAAAAAACGCTCGCGGCCGCACCCGAGCAGCAGCCGGGTACGCAGTCTACCTTTACACACCCATCCACGCCTACGCAGCTCAAGATTGAAATGCAAATCGAGAAACCATACACAGAAAGAACGAGGAGGGAGAGAGAGCGAGAGAGATGACAACATAACATATAACGAAAGAGGGAGAGAGGGAGAGAGAGAGAGAGAGAGAGAGAGAAAAAGAGAGAGAGAGAGAGAGAGAAAAAAAAGAAAGAGAGAACCAGAGAGAGAGAGAGAGAGAGAAAGAGAGCAGGAAAGGGTGGCGTATGCACGTGCCGCGGGGGAGGAGGCCAAGATCGCCCTGGCCAAAGCCACCGCGGCCCGCACAGCGTTGCAGTTGAATCACGAGCATGCTCGAGTGATTCTGAGCCACTTCAAGGCAACGCAGGCCCACGAGGAGAATGTAGCAAAGGATGCAGCAGCAGCTGCAGCACGCGGAGCAACGAAGGCGCCCGAAGAAGGAGCCACCAGAGCTGTCCATTTTGGAGATGGTACGCAAGTGGACGACTCGAGCAGTGCCCAAGCCCAGGTGGCACATGGCACTGCAACACCAACCACGCCAACCCACACTCGATCGCAGCCAAGCCAGCCCTGATACCAGTCATCACGGTGAAACAGGCTGGTCAGCAGCAGTTGTATTCACGAGTGGACTCGCTGAGCAGCACCCTCGCGGTCATCCAACTCTCGCTTGCTTCGCTTGGGGCAACTCAACAACATCCTACTGCCAACCCACACTCAGCCGCAGCCGGCCCAGATGCCAAGAGTGATCATGGTGAAACAGGCTGGTCAGCAGCAGTTGCATTCACGAGTGGACTCGCTGAGCAGCACCCTCGCGGTCATCCAACTCTCGCTTGCGTCCCTTGGAGCAGCTCAACAACAGCTTGCTGCTCTGTATGTCCAGCAGGCAGGCCCGCCCAACTATCCCATGGCAGCAGCTCCGCCAGTGGTAGCAGCGGCAGCGTCTTCGGCAGGTTTGGACGAGGCCGCCAAAGCCAGAGCAGGTTCGAACAGCCCGGATCCCTTGCCAGAGGCGACAGCAGAAGAGGTGTCCGCTTTTGGAAGCATGTCTGCACGCCCGAGAGGTGCAACATTTCACGCGGCAGCGGGCACCATGCCAGGTCAGATCAAATCAACCGACTCCTTGAAACGCCCTCGCGGTCAACAGCGAGGCGTGGAGGAGCAGGTACACGAGGAGGAGCCCCCCCACAGGCCCCTGATGACCGAGGGCTCGGAGAGATCTCAGACACATGCAATTTCTGCAGCAGTTTTTCCGCAGCCAACTGGAGCACCAGCATGAGTTCTCTGCAGGGCTCAAGGGATGGCAATGACCCAGAATTGACCCAGTTGGCCCCGATCCCAAGCACTGAAACATTGCCCCATTCCGAGGATGTTGGTGCAGTCTAATGCCTGGTGGGACTGGGCTTGTCCAACAATTGCTCAGATCCTGGTCCTGGAACATCACCTTACCCGATGATCTTAGTCTCGCACCATGTTTGCACTCCTCCACCGTCCAGGCTATTCCGAGACTTGTCTCTGCTCGGGGACCTCTCTACTTGGGAGAGCATTTTGTTATGACTCTGGGGACAGTAGTCGCAGATTCTAATATGGTCGGACATTCCCTCCAGCCAAATACTTATCTAGTTGGGCTTTCCTGGTTCTCGTTAACAGACGTCCTAGACGATTGCGCCCCGTCGGGTTTTCGGCCGATGCCCCTGGGGACCTTGCCTGCGAGCATTTCCCGTTCCTCAGGGAGCTTTTCGTGGCCCAGTGGGCTTTGGCTTGGGTGCTCCAATTGCGAAGAGAGGCCTTGCGGGGCCTCAACATCACTCTCAGAAGGGGACAACATGGAGGTTCTCCCTATCATGCAAGGGGGCGTTGCCTCGGGGGTTCTGGCTCAGGGATAAGGGGTTTCCTAGATTATGTGGCGCGTTTTCTTCGCCGCTCGACCAGGACCTCTCGAGCAGCGCACGTCTCAGGGCGCAGCGCTGAACCATGGAATGAGCTGGCTGACGCGCGCGCCACGCTGGCATCCATGCAACTTCGCCTTGTCCAGCCAGTGCTACCGGCAGATTGGAGAGCGCATCTTCCCTCGCAACATCTCATGGCATGGGCCTGGCTTGATTCAGTAGACGAGCCGGATGTGAGAGGACAACAGCCACCCAATCAAGACGTTTCCCTTTCACCTCTACGGGAGCCCCGCTTAGGCCTCAGCTGCATCGCCCCTCACGACCTCAACCGGACTTCCATGACCAACTCCGAGGGTATCACGCACACGTGCTCCTTGTATGTGGTTTCCGCGAGAGTGCTCACCCTCGACTCCAAGGCTAACAGGCTCACGAACATTTTGTGACTGTATCTTCCTGGACGCATGGCCTATTTGGGCGACATGTTTCGCCAAATTCCACGCCTTCCTGGCTGGCACCTTGAAGACCAAATTTCCAGGCGACGGGTACTCAACCGTAGAAGATCATCCCGTCTTGGACGCAAAGTCGGACGAACATCGACGGTAATTGTGTTCAACGGTACCTGCAGGCTCACCGCCAAGAGTTGCAGAGCCCTTTACGCATCCCCACGTTTGCAGATTGTTGCGATCAGGCACGGCACACTGAGGGGGGGGGCTCCTGGGGACAGGTCCCCAGGGAGGTCCCGCCTGTGGTGGGGGGAGGGTGGTCCCGGATCAAATTGCCGCTCCCCAAAGGTCCCAGCGGGTCTCGGGGGGGGGGCGCCAACCAGACTCCTCGGGGAGGTCCCGCCTTCAGGGTCGGCGGCACCATCCGTGAGGCCTGCACAATATACGATGTACCTTCGCCCGCACCTGGATCCCGAGATCCCTGAGGTCTAACTTACGGACGCCACCGCTCGAGTCGGTTCTTTGGTTTGCGCAATCGACTGGTCCCGTCAACGCGGACGCGCAACACACTTCTCGGGATTGGCTGCAGGATGCGCTTCTGGATGGGGGCCTCCGGCTCCCCGCTGCGTTTCTCCCTTCGAGCTCGTCAGGAGCTACCTGGTACGCCCCATCGGGAGAGCCTCCAGGAACGGACGTAGACTGGACCGCATCGCTCGCTCTAGGAACACCCGGGTGTATATGGCAGACGTCTAGGATGAAATCGGCCTGACTCACGAAGGGGGCCGTGATGCGATTTCCGCATACGTTTCCCAAGTCCAGGCAACAGTTCAATTACCCTACTATCAAAGAAAAGGAAGAGGAGGAGGAGGAGGACGGAGGAGGAGGAGGAGGAGGAGGAGGAGGAGGAGGAGGGAGGAGGAAGGAGGAGGAGGACGACGAAGGGGAGGAAGAAGAGGAGGAGATGGAGGATGAGAAGAAAGGAGGAGGAAGAGGAGGAGGAAGACTACTATCAACTGACCCAGCAGCCCTCGACGACCCACAGGCATTGCAAGATTTCCCTGTACACGTTGCCCGCAGTGCTCTGCGCCTGGACCTTTCCGCTCATCTCGCGGGCCTCCACCAGTCGCTCCACAGCGTCAGGAGGAGAGGAGGAGGGAAAGAGGAGGAGCAAAAGGAGGGGAGGAGGATGATGATGAGGAGAGGGAGGAGGATGAGGTCAGGAGGAGGAGATCCCTCCCAAGTCCACGGCGCGTGGACGGGCGCAGCGACAGGCATGGCTTTCGCAGGAGCCTTTGAGCAAGATGGATGCCCAGACAAACGTGCACCTGGTCCAAGGCTGATCTGTCCATGCGATTCAGGGTGGACCTTGTTTCGCAGGCTTGTTCCCGAGTCCTCAGCCGCCTGGGTTTATTGGCTCCTGCCGGCTTTCAATGGTGCCCACAATTTGTGGATCCAACTCGAGGATGTCTTCCGCGAAGTGCGGAAACTACCTCTGCGGGCTCAGCGTGGTCCTAGTCAGGCCCCAGGCAAGTGGTGCTGCACCGCCGGACGTTGCAGTCAGGGGAGCTGGGCGCGTCGCCCGAGCCCTTAAAGCCCAGGAACAACAGGGCAGGACACGTCAAGATCACCTGATGTCGCGCATCGCGCCCCGCGATGCGCGACTATCTTCACGCCCATGGGGGCCCATAGGGGGTGACCACGGCAATTTCCGGCAACTTCGCGAGTGGGGGGGCGGGCTGCTGCTTGACGTCGCTTTCTCCCTGGAGCCGCGCGCGTTCGCTGGTAAGGCTTGCAGCAGCAGGTGTACAGGTGGAGGTCGGCCCGTTTCCAACGTGGGGCTCTCTTCCTGCGCCGCGTGCAGTCGCCCCCGAACCATCTGAAAACGCTTGGGGTGTGCTGAATGTTCGATCTGTTGCCCTCGGCTCAGAGCCGTGTACATGAGTCATAACGGCTTGCGGTATTTATTCAAGCTGGCTCTCACCATAGCGCCGCGCGCATTCGTCTCGAAAGCTTGCAGCCATTACGCATTTACACTGATGAAGGGCGGTTCCTTGGCAAAATTGGGCCATCGTGTAAAACACTCTCCAGATTCGGTGGTTCCTCTATCCCATCGAAGGTCACAGCTGCACGGATGGAGGACGGCTCATTTTCAAATGGGGCCCTCGCTGGATGCCCCCGCACACTCCACAACACATTCAGACATGCTGGACGCCTGCACGGATGCGGAGGGAAGCTGCTCAGCGTGTGGCCCTGGTCGGACGCTTTCCAGGATATTCTGACAGTGCATAGCCTTGGTATTTCCAATGGATCCCAGGATGGCGTGTGTTGCAGTATCCTTGTTGTATCCTTGGCGTGCTCGGTGACGATGACGATGCCGCTGCTGATGATGATGACCATGAGGATGATGACGATGATGATGATGCTGCTGCAGATTTTGGTGACTGCTTCACAGTCATCATGGTCCTCATCATCCTCATCATCTCCTTCATCAGCAACATCACCCCCATCATCATCAGCAGCATCCTCCTCATCCTCATCATCCTCACCATCCTCGTCATCCTCACCATCCTGATCATCATCACCACCATCCTCACAATCATTATCATTCTCATCACCCTCATCATCATCGACATCACCACCACCATCACCATCATCGTCATCACCACCACCATCATCATCACCATCAAAATCCACATCATCACCATCGTCGAAGTATCATCAGCATCGTCCTCATCATCATCACCGTCATCATCAGCATCATCATGATTGTCGTCATCATAATCAACATCGTCGCCCTCCTCCTCCACCACAACCACCCCCTCCTTCGATGGGGGGCCCATACCACGTTCGATTTCTCATGTGTCTTGCTGTCACCCGAGCCCCCTGGGGCGGTCGACCCCTTTCCCCCCCTCTCGGCGCTCTGCTGTGCCGAGCGCGGCCACATCGAACACCTCCTGCTTCATTCCGCCCCCCCCTTCTCAGGGGTTCTTCTTCACAGCGTTCTGGGCGTTTTGGTTTACCGTCTTGCAGCTTGGGCTCCTGGCAAGCTAGAAGCGCGAACACAACGCTGCATTGTCTTAGTCGCGTGCTTCCTGCGTTGTTTGGTGCTTTCAGGCCCGTCGCTGTGGATCTGTATGTTAGTTTTTGTGTGCGTTCTTTGATCGAGGGTCGAGAAGGGCCTTCTCGATGAACGCCTCGCCAGGGCCTGCGGGGCGCCAAAGGGCAGCCCCAGGGATGGCTTCTGAATGGGGGCCCAAGTCCGCCGACCCCTTGTGGGTCTCTAGGCGTGTGAGACGCTTCCCCCCTTAACCCCCCCCCGGGGACCCCAAACCGGCGATTTGACCCCCCCCCCCGGGCCAAGGGGGCCCTGGGGGGGCCGTTTGACACTGGGCCCCACTGTCAACCACCCGGATTGAGCTCGCCCAGGTCCCTGGGGGGTTGGCCGACGTCGGGGGCCATTTGACAATGGGCCCCACTGTCAAACCAAACAAATCCCGGGGGGGCGGGGGCCTGGGGGCCATTTGACCGTGGGCCCCGCTGTCAGACAGGTTCCAGGGGGGTCCCCCCGGGGGGGGGGCCTCAGAGCCATTTGACAATGGGCCCCAGTGTCAAACAGGTTCCAGGGGTCCCCCCGGGGGGGGGCCTGGGGGCCATTTGACAGTGGGCCCCACTGTCAAACATGTTCCAGGGGAGACCCGGGGGAGGCTGGAGGCCATTTGACAATGGGGGCCACTGTCAAACAAGTCTCACGGGGGGAGCGGGGGCCATTTGACAATGGGGCCCACTCTCTAACAGGTACCAGGGGCCATATTCACAGAGGGACCCACTGTCAAACGGGGACCTGGGAACCATTTGACATTGGGGGCCACTGTCACACGGAGGCCCGGGGGCCATTTGACAGTGGGGCCCACTGTCAAACGGAGACCTGGGGGCCATTTGACAGCGGGTGCCACTGTCAAACGGAGACCTGGCGGCCATTCGACATTACTGTCAAACGGAGGCCTGGGGGCCGTTCGACAGTGGGGCCAAATGTCAAACGGGGACCTTGAGGCCATTTGACAGTGGGGCCACAGTCAAATGGCGTCTGGGGGGCGCGAGGGCTCCGTCAAACAGCGCGCCGAAGACAATCGCGGTGGGCGCGGAAGAGCAAGTCGACGACGGGGCGCGCTGTCAGACGGCGCGCCGCGCGCGGTCCGAGTAGGAAGCCGCGCGGCCCACCGCAAACGCTTTCCATGCTCGACCGATCCAAATGGTTCAATATAAAAACGGGCTTCCACCGCGCCACCAGGAACAACGCCGCCAAGCTCGCGCACTCCTTGTCACCGTGTCCCAGCCACTGACCTTTGTCTTCTATTGTCCACGGCCGCCTCTACTCGTCCCAATCCTCCTATGACACAAGCGACCCCCTGCTGCACCCCGCGGCAGCTGCTATGACTCGCCGCGGCACCTCCGCGCCCTTCTGACTGGGGCCGAGCGTCTTCTGGCGAGATTGCGACGAGCTTTACCTCCTTGCGTTCCTCTTCGCACGCGTCGCGCTCCGAATTGTCATCCCTTGTAATCGCCTCGGCGTTACCGCGCACTGCGCATCGCCGCGCTGCATTGCGCAGCCCGCCCGCGACCCCGGCGCGCCCGTCGACCTGCCATGCAGGACATCACGTGCCCGCTCAGTCAACGCTCCCCGCCGAATCTCGCAATCCAAAGAGCCATCTCAACTCGGTTGTCCGCCGAGCTGTCCATTCTGGAAATCACAGAGAGGCCCGCGATCATCGGCGACCTCAGGCGAAGCCCCTCAGGGCATTCCCAAGATGGCCTCTTGGGCAAGTTTGCGACCCTCTTCGGCCCTCCTTCTCCCTGTGCCTGAGCCGGAACGGAATGACTCCGCCGCGGCTTACTCAAAAGTTCTGGCGGCCAGTGCCACTGAAAAAAAGGGTCGGCGGATGTGGCGTAAGCCTGTAGAATCTCGACAAAATATAAACCAGGCGAGGCATTCAACCCTCAACAGCTTCACGCGACCTTGGTGATGACGCTCGATCTGTGTGTGTGTGTGTGTGTGTCGGTGTGTGTGTGTGTCGGTGTGTGTCGGTGTGTGTCTGTGTGTGTGAGGGACACTCCGAAATGCGCGGGGGATCCCATGGGCGCTCTCCCACTGGGGCCGCATGTGGAGGTCCCCGAGGTGCACGAAGCGTGGGAGGGTTACAGTCGGACCTGGGCCAGAAGAACAGCCTTCAAGAACATGAGATTGGTTGTCGGCCAAAACGGAAAGTCCAAGGGTACCCTCCCCAAGATGCACAAGGACATCCGACAAGCACGAAGAAACTAGGGTACCCTCCCCGAGCCGACCTCGACCTTATACCTCTGTCCGACTGTACGCCGAAACGGGCGGGGAAACATGTACGCACGCTTCCCCACGTCGCGACCGACCAACAACCCCAGGGCGCTCTTCGGCAATGTGGGCCTGTTCTCTGGGGCCGCCCCCCGGGCATCCGGGCCGTCGCGGCGTCGGATGCCCGGGGAGCTGGCGAGGAGGAGGAGGAGGAGGGAGGAGGGAGGAGGAGGAGGAGGAGAAAGGCAGGAGCAGGGGGGAAGGGAGGAATGGGGCAGAAGGGACGGAGGCGGAGGGAGCGTGCAGGAGGGTGAAGAGGGGGGAGGGGAAGCACCTGCGGGAGGGAGGGTAAGCGGGGAGCTCTCACTGCACCGGCTCCTCGATCTGCGTCCGGCCCTCGCCTCCGAGCTGCCCCTCGTCCTCCTCCTCCTCCTCCGCTCCGACGCCGTGGGCCACCTTCTGCTGGGCGCGCGCTTGCTCCAGCTCCGCCTGCAGCCTCTCCACCTCCTCATAGATCTCCTCGCCGATTTCATGCGTCTCGTTTTCGTCCGAGCGGTGGAGGCGGTCGACCGCGTCGTTGTACCAGCCGTCGTTGCTCGGGTACAGCTGGTCGATCATGTCCATGCCCGTGATGTTCTCGCTGTCGAGCTCGTACTTGTCCGCGATCCTCTCGAGGGCATCCCGCTCCTGGTCCGCTGAGCTGTCCACTTTGTTCGTGTCGTTCGAGATGGTGCTCATCAGCACCTTCAGCTCTTCAACCATCGCCTTGAGAGGCCTCCCAAATGGTGTCCGAGTAGATGGGGTCGGAGGATCGCACCGCATCGCCGATGTGTTGCCGATGCGAAGCATCGGCGACGTCGGCAATGCATCGGCGACGCCAGCGTGGAGAATCACGGACTCCACACTGAATAGCATCTCTGGTGCATCGGCAGCGCGGAGCGATCCACTGGACCCATCCATTCGGACCCCTCTTCAGGGACGCAAAAAAACCGGCCTTCCGCGAGATCACACAGCGACCTTACGCGGTGGCTTACGCGGGCCGCCAGTGCGGCACGCTCTGTCGGAAACGAGGGTGCTTACGCGCGACCTTACGCGGGCACCTCGCGCGCGGACGGCGGCACGGTCGAACCCGCTTTTGGTGCGTCGCTCATGTTTGGGAGGCCCGGAACCTTGGCGATGGCCTGCCTCTTTCTCTTGGAGAGGCGGGGCGTCTTCCGGAGGTGCTGGTGCTTCGCCACCTTCCTGCGCGGCCAGCCTGCCTGCGCGAGCGCCTTGGCGACGATGGCCTCGCCGAGCTCCGAGACCTCCGTCGCGTTCTTCTCGTCGACCTCCTCCAGGATGTCCTCCAACCTCTCCAGGTCCTTCTCGAACTTGGACTCTGGAGCCTCGCCCGCGAGATCGCCTTCCCGCTTCCTCTCGAGCGACTCGCCGAGCTCGGAGAGCTCGGTCGCGTTCATCGGGTCGACGGCGTCCATCATGCCGTGCAGCTTCTCCAGGTCCTTTTCCTCCTGGGACTTTGGGACCGCCTGCATAAGGTCGCCCTCCTGCTCGCTCACCTTTAGAATAAGACCGTCTTCGCATAAACATCAACTGTTGGAGCCCTGCGCGGATTTCTGGTATTTGCGATGAGCCCCCCTCCCTGGCGCGCCAGGGGCGGCGCCGAAGGCGCCGCCATGGGGGCCCAGGCACCGACCCCAAGAAATCCGCGCGGAGCCCCGAACAATTATCCTCGTCCCGTTCGTTCTTTTCCGGGCCTCTCTCTCGAGATCGTCGGCGGCCTTGTCCGCCTCGTCGAGCCACCTCCTTCTTTGGACGCGCGAAGTGGGTACTGAAAACTCCTCCTCCTCCTCCTCCTCCTCGGTGTGCGATGTCCAGCAGCACATGTAGCCCAACACCAACGGCGGCCGCTGCTGGGCAGGCGGCCTTCTCTCTCTCCAATGAACACCGCCCGCGGCGGCACCGACAGCGAGCCCTGCTCAAGATGGGCAGGAGCTGCTATTTCGGGGGAGACAACCGGCTCGGGCTCGGGGCGCTTGGGGTTGGCCTGACGGGGCCATCATGACACTGCCGAGACCCACTCTGAAACCTGACGCGAACTCCTGCTGCAGACATCCCACGAACACTGGACCATCAAAATCCAGGACGCGCCCGTCAAACAGCGTCGGTCAACCCGAGTTCCGGCGCACTCGAGTCTTATATACGCTTCCCCGATCTCGGTGTCCATCCCCCCTTCTGTCCGTGCTCTATTTGGGCGACGATCAACAACGGGTCTTTCGCGAGGTGGCATGGCAACCTCACGCGGCAGCTTACGCGGGCCACTAGCGAAGCAGAGCACACGTCGGAAGCGAAGGCACTTGCGCGCGACCTTACGCGGGCAGCTCACGTGCCAATGTCGGCGCAGACGAGCCCGTCTGCTTCGGCGGCGCGCCCAGGCGGGGAGCGGGAAAGAGGAGACCTTCTCAGAAGGCTCGGAAGTCCCCCGGCCTTTCTGAAAACAAATCTGGGCCCTCCCCGAAGACACAGAACACCTCTCAGGAGGCCCAGGGCCTTCTGAGAAGCCCCGCCGCCTTATGAGAAGGCATCCTCCCTCTCACTTCCCACCCTCGCCAGCCGCCGATTTCTTGCGGCGCCCATCAACAGATGAATGGACCATGGTGATCCATGCATACATATGACACATACTGAATTCAGACGATTGGCACTGTTACATAACATAGACAAACACATCATGAGAGGCCTCCTCGATGGGGTCGGAGTAGATGGGGTCGGAAGATCGCGCCGCATCGACGATACATCGGCGATGCATCTCGGCAATGCATCGGGGATGCATCTGCGACGTCGGCGGTACATCGGCGACTCCAGCGCGGAGAAAATCGGGCTCCGCATCGAGCCGCATCGCCGATGCATCGGCGATGCGGCGCGATCCGCCGACCCCATCTACTCCGGACCCATCAACGAGGCCTAGAATACAAACGTATCATGTTTTTTTGTGCGTCGCCGGAGGAGGAGGAGGAGGAGGAGGAGGAGGAGGAGGAGGAGGGGGAGGAGGAAGAGGAGGAGGGGGAGGAGGAGGAGGGCCAGTGGAAACCCAAGAGTCATCAACGATGTTGGAATTTACCCTCCCTCTAAGCTCCCTCTTCATAGGCCCCTACAGCGGTTCATGTCCATTGAGGGAACTGCCTCGTTGGAAGGCAACAGTTTGAAGATCCTGAAGCGTGCCAAAACATTGTTCTCGGGATTTCATTGCCACGTATCAACCTGACTGCTGCGTCTTGGCGACCCAGAGTCGTGCCAGAAAGCCTTTTGGGGGATTTCAACACATCGAATCAACATAATTGTTGCGCCCGCATAGTCCTGAATCCTTCCACATCGCCATTTCTGGTCCGTTGACCATGGGACTCCGTGAAACTCTTGCGAATTTTTGAAAGCGAATGTGCGCGGCGCTAAAACGAGAATCACATTTTGAAAAGGAGCTGCCCTCAATCCGTGAAACACTTGCAAATGTTTAAAACGAATGCGCGCGGCGCAAAAGCGAGAACCACATTTTGAAAACGATCCGCCCTCAACCCGTGAAACTCTTGCACATGTTTAAACACATGTGCGCGGCGCTAGGGCGAGAACCACATTTTGAAAACCAGCCGCCCTCAATCCGTGAAACTTTTGTAAATGCTTAAACCGAATGTGCGCGGCGCTAAAGCGAGAATCACATGTTGAAAACCACCCGCCCTCAATCCGTAAAACCCTTGCATGTTTTTTTAAACGAATGCGCGCGGCGCTAAGGCGAGAGGCATATTTTGAACAAGACCCGCACTCCATCTGTGAAACTGCTGTCACTTTCTCAGCTTCCGAATCATACATGGTAGTGAAGTCTCAGGCGAATCGCCCGGCCCGCCCAAAAAACTTGCCTCGGGGTGCGACAGGGAGGAGTTAGTAAGGAGAAGGAATGGAGGAGGAGGAGGAGGAGGAGGAGGAGGAGGAGGAGGAGGAGGAGGAAGAGGAGGAGGAGGGGGAGAAGAAGGAGGGGGAGGAGGAGGAGGGGGAGGAGGAGGAGGAGGAGGAGGAGGAGGAGGAGGAGGAGGAGGAGGGGGAGAAGGAAGAGGAGGAGGAGGAGGAGGAGGGGGAGGGCGAGGACGAGGAGGAGGAGAAAATAAGCACATGATGTGTTTTTTTGGTGCGTCGCCCACTTCGCCCGCACCGATCCTCATGCGCTCGTCGAGCACGGGCTGGGCGACCCCGGCGGCGGGCGGGCGCCGCGCCCCCCCGCGCGGCCTCCGCGGCGCGCCCTCCCCGGCCAGGGCCCTGGCCAGCTCCAGCGTGCGAGCGAGGCTGACGACCTTCGACGACGGCGGCGGCGACGACGCCGGCGACGAAACGACGACGACGACGACGACCTTCGAGGACGAAACGACGACGGCGACGGCGGCGGCGGCGACGCCGACGACGAAACGACGACGACGACGACGACCTTCGAGGACGAAACGACGACGACGGCGACGGCGGCGGCGGCGACGCCGACGACGAAACGACGACGACGACGACCTTCGAGGACGAAATGACGACGACGACGACGACGACGACGACGACGACGACGGCGGCGACGACGACGACGACGACGACGACGACGACGACCGCAGCGGCTGCGACGACGACGACGACGACGACGACGACGACGGCGGCGGTGGCGGCGACGACGCCAGCGGCGACGACGACGACGAAGAACCACCCCACACCCACAGGGGCCGTTCAGTACAATTGCACTGACATTAACTTTCGTTACGGCAGGCTCGTGCGGCGTCAGCAGGCGCAAAGGTTTTTGGCACCGCGTCGATCGTTCAACGTCCTCAAAGAACACTGGCCTCTCCGCGGGCCAGGACACCCCAAACCACAAGATCACTCCAGGGTACTCTCCCCCAGGATGCGCAAGAACAGCCAATAAACACCAAGAACACTGGGGTACCGCCCCCGAGCCGGCCTCGATCTTACACCTGCGGATCTTTCGGATCCGCGCTGGGCCCCCCCTCCCTGGAGCGCGCAGCGCGCCGGGGGCGGCGCTGAAGGCGCCGCCGCCGGGGGGGGGGGGGGGGGGGGGGCCAACGCGGATGCGAGAACTCCGCGAGGAACTCCCAAAGAAGTTTCGAAGTATGACGTGACTTTGGAAGCGTCCCCGGGGGCTGGACGGGCCCCGAGACAAGCGGTCAAGAAGGGGAGGAGGAGGAGGAGGAGGAGGAGAAGGAGGAGGAGGAGGAGGAGGAGGAGGGGAGGAGGAGGAGGAGGGAGGAGGAGGAGGAGGAGGAGGAGGCGGAGGAGGAGGAGGAGGAGGAGGGGCGAAGGCAAATCCGCTCAAAGTCGGCCCCCAGAGCCCCTCCCGAAACTCGCCAGTTCGGCGAGCCGTGCCCAGCCATGGCGACGAGTGGGCTCCCCTATCCCCCCCCTTTCCGCTGGCTGGTCCTGGTGTTGGGCCACCTCCCCTCTCACCCGGCGTTGCAAAAGGTTGCTCCACCGCGCAAATGGGGAGAACAGCTATCGTGCTAAGAGTCAGGATTGAGAGGATACAGGGTATGAGCAATAGCATCCGGATGCCATGAACAAGACCTTCGGCCGCCTACGGGTAATGATATCCTCACTTCTCCCAGCCCCGTCCTCCCAACCCGATCATTGTCTTCCTGAACACATCCGCGACCTGAGCCCTGGACCCCATCTGCGTCACGCTTCGACCCCGATCCATCTGTGAGGGCCCTGGGCCCCGAAACCGAGCGAAGCCGCCCGCGGGGAAAATCTGCAGCGCCAAGACCTCAGGGCTGGGCCACCTCCGACCCCCCAGCCAGCTCCAGACCTGGCTCTTGAGCGCGAGATAACTGAAGGGGGGGACGGTGAAACGGAGGGAAACAAAGACAGGTGCCCTGCTCGGGCCCCAAAGGCACTGGCCTGGGGCCCTGGAGGGCCCCTTGAGGGGCCCTGGACGGCCCCCTTTTCTGCAGCCCTCGTTGCCCCCCCCTCTTTATCGCCCCCCCCTTACGCACGCGCCCTCCAAGGATACCTCCGCCCCCCCAGCCCTTAGATGTTCTTAAAAACGCTGGGGGCGTTTTCTTTCCGTTTTGGTTATCGTTTTCTTTCCGTCTTCTTTTCATTTTTGGCTCGAGCACGACGTTTTTAACCCGTTTCGGGCCACCGTTTTGTTTCCCTTTTGGTCGGCCGCCACCGCAATAGGGGAAAACGGAGGGGAAAACAAAAAAGCCCCCAGCGTTTTGACGAACAACTGAGCCCCAGCAACACTCCAGACCTGGCTCGCGTTTGTGGGGTCGACCGGGCCCGCGCGGCTCCGCAGAGCCCTCGGGCCCCTCCGCCCCGCCGTCAGGGCGCCGCGGCCCGCGGCGGCAGGCTCGGCGGCCAGGCCGGCCGCCAGGCCCTGCAGCGCCACGGCCGCGGCCGCAAGCGCGCGCCAGGCGAGCGGCACGGCCATTGCGAGGAGCACACAGACCAGACCCCCTCAGGTCATGAAACAAACCCAGACATGATCGCGTCGTGAAAAGGTCAGGACGGGAGGATTTTGGCCGATTTCGGCCTCGGGGGGCCCTCGCCAGGCCTCGAGACCGTCAAAAAACGACTCAAGATGAAAAACCGGTACTGGGGAAAGGGTCGGGACTTCCAGGGCCCCGTATGGAAAAAATCAGGACGTCGCATGTCTGGGAAAGCACGACGGAACTTTTTGTCGCTAGTTTCGGCTTCTGGGGGCCCTCACTGGGCCTCGGGGTCGCACATGAAAATGGCTCGGGATGAAGGGCCGGTCCAAGGGAATGGGTCGAGACCTCTGGGGGTCGACGCTATGAAAACATCATGACGTCGGGGGTCTGGGAGGAAGGTATCGGAAGGAAGCCTGTCAGGAGGGGGGAGGAATGCACCCAACCATGACGTGAACCAACATGGCTGCACGCAGGAGACGCTCTTTTACCTCAAGCGCGCCAAGAATAATACTGGTTTCAGCGGTCGTCCCGACACCGAGCGCGTTCCCCGTTTCTGCGCCCAGGATGCTTTTCGCGCCCCAGAGAGCTCGTGTGGGAGCGCAAGCCCAACTTTGGGCTGCTGGGCATCCACGCCAAAATGCTCCTCAGAAGACACTCAAGGCTGCCGGCTGGGCTTCTTCTGGGGCGCCCGATCCCTAGGTTTCTGGTGGCGCCCACGGTGTACGAAGCTGAGTTCTCCAACCCCGACCAGAACACGCAGACCGACAGCACCCAAGAACGTGCCCACGGCTGGCGGCACCCATGGGTGGATCTGTCTCGAGGCCCAGGCCGAGCGGAGCATGATAATGATGATGATGATGATGATGATGATGATGATGATGATGATGATGCTGATGATGATGCTGATGCTGATGCTGATGCTGATGCTGACGATGATGATGAAGATGAAGATGAAGATGAAGATGAAGATGAAGATGATGATGATGATGATGATGATGATGATGATGATGATGACGATGATGAAAATGATGAAAATGATGATGATGATGATGATGATGATGATGATGATGATGATGATGATGATGCTGATGATGATGATGATGATGATGATGATGAGAAGGAGGAGGAGGAGGAGGTAGAGGATCAGTAGGTGGACGAGGAGGGGAGACGTGAACCACCTCGAAGGATCTTTCTGGTGCCCACGCTGCTGAACCCTGGGAGGGTGAGTGTGGGCAGGGGGGAAGATCAATCAAATCGAACCCATTAATCGATTCGAGTGAGAATTTGCGTCGGATCGGCATGCATCGGCACGGAATAGAAACCGAATCGAACCTGCCGCGCCAAGATGCACAACAACGCCATGCAAGCATCGTGCCGCATCGGATCGCCAGAATGACTCGGATCGCATCGGGCGGTCCAATTGCGATAACGAGTCGAATCTATCGGATCGAAATGGGCCCTGCGGGGAGGACGACCTGCACCACGAGCCCAGACATCATATCGGACGTGGTGTTTTTTGCGCAACGTGGTTCCCGACAGGTCTGAACGTCTGAACCTCTTCCCGGGGCCACGCTGCAAAAGTGTTTTTAAAGCTATCCACGCCTATATGGAGCTACCCAGGCTGCTGCAAACCTCCACAGGAAATCACACTCAGGGCTACAGAGTCTCGTCCAAGCCCCCTCCCCAAACATCCGATGTCTTGATTTGCGCAATGCGGGGCCAACGGACGTCCCAACCCTTTCCCTAAAGCCGACTTTGTCAACCCGACCCGTTTTTGAAGAACGGGTCCCGAAAACAGCGCCTGGAATGGGGGAACAACATTATAACAGTATACCGGCACAGCTGCTCCATGGACCAAAGATACGGGGAGAAGGACGATGAGGAGGACGGGGGTAAAGACGAGGCGGCGGCGGAGAAGGAGGAGGAGAGGAAGGAGGATGAGGAGGAGGAGGCAGAGGATGAGGAGGGAGAGGAGGAGGAAAAAGAGGAGGAGGAGGAGGAAGAGGAGGAGGAGGAGGAGGAGGAGTGGAAGGGAGGAGGAGGAGGAAGGAGGAGGAGGAGGGGAGGAGGAGGAGGAGGAGGAAGAGGAGGAGGAGGAGGAGGAGGAAGAGGAGGAGGAGGAGGAGAAGGAAGAGGAGGAGGAGGAGGAGGAGGAGGAGGAGGAGGAGGGGGGAAGAGAAGGTTGAGGAGGAAGAGGAGGAGGAGAAGAGGAGAGGAGGAGAAAGAGGAGGAGGAACAGGACGAGGATGAGGATGAGGATGAGGATTAGGAGGAGGAGGAGGGGAGGAGGAGGAGGAGAGGAGGAGGTAAAAGAGGAGGAGGAGGAGGACGAGGGGGAGAAGGTGGAGGAGGAGGAAGAGGAGGAGGAGGAGGAGGAGGAGGAGGAGGAGGAGGAGGAGGAGGAGGAGGAGAGGAGGAGGAGGAGGAGGAGGAGGAGGAGAGGAGGAGGAGGAGGAGGGGAGGAGGGGGGGAGGAGGAGGAGGAGGAGGGAAGAGGAGGAGGAGGTGAGGAGGAGGGGAAGGGAGGAGGGGAGGAGGGAGGAGGAGGAGAGGAGGAGGCGGGGAGGAGTAGGAGAAAGAGGAGGAGGAGGTGGAGAAGGACGAGGAGGAGGAGGAGGACGATGACGATGAGCAGAGGAAGAGGAGGAGGAGGAGGAGGAGGAGGAGGAGGAGGAGGAGAGGAAGGAGAGGAGGAGGAGGAGGAGGAGGAGGAGGAGGAGGAGGAGAAAGAGGAGGAGGAGGAGGACTATAATGCGGCATGGAGGCAGGGCCGAAAGCAGCGCCTGGACTGGGGAAACAACATTCTAACAGTATACTGGCAACGCTGCTCCCCGGACCAGTTACAGGAGGAGAAGGAGGAGGAGGAGGAGGAGGAGGAGGAGGGGGAAGAGGAGGAGGAGGAGGAGGAGGGGAGGAGGAGGAGGAGGGAGGGGAGGAGGACGGGGGTAAGACGAGGAGGCGGCGGCGGAGGAAGAGGGGTTAGCAGGAGGAGCAGGAGGAGCAGGAGGAGGATGAGGAGGAGGAGGAGGAGGAGGAGGAGGCCCGCCGCGGGATGTCCCTTCCCGGGCCCCGTTGGCCTCGAGTGCTGCTGGGAGCTTTCGTCTTCTTCCCCGCCCCCTCAGGGAGAAGGAGGAGGAAGAGCACGAGGAGGAGGAAGAGGCGGAGGAGGAGGAGGAGGAGGTGGAGGAGGACGAGGGGGAGGTGGAGAGGAGGAAGAGGAGGAGAGGAAGAGGAGCAGGACGAGGAGGAGGAGGAGGAAGGAGAGGAAGAGCAGAAGGCGGAGGAGGCGGAGGAGGAGGAGGGAGAGGAGGAGAAGGAGCAGGAGGAGAAGGAGGGGGAGGAACAGGAGGAGGAGGAGGAGGTTGAGGAGGGGGAGAAGGAGGACCAGGAGGAGGAGGGGAGGAGGAGGAGGAGGAGGAGGAGGAGGAGGAGGGGGATGAAGAAAAGGAGGATGGGAGGAGGAGTAAGAGTAAGAGTAAGAGTCCCTGGACGATGTCCACTCCCAGACGCCTTAAACGGGGAGCCCCTTCAGGGCTCTCTTGGCCTTCTGAGCAGCCGTAAAGGCCTTGGGCCACAACGAATCACGGATTCTAGCTAAATAGCCAGCTCGAGTCGGGGTGGTCTTATACACGCATTGCTTCCCCAACCCAAGCAGCTGCTGATCAGCGAACATGCCACACATAGCACAAAACCACACATCGACATCCTGATGATATCTTAGCTTGTGAGACCCGCGCACCCACCCCCCAGCGATGTGCAACTCCGCCCCCTGGGGAATGGTTCTCAACGAACAGTCCAGAGCCACAAGCTTGAAACACGGCGACGCTCTCCACACTCTCCGTTCGGAGATCGACGCAGAGCCACGACATCTGCGGCACCGACGCCCCGATTCGTCCAGGGCGTGCGAACTGGACAGGATGGACACAGCCTCGGGGCACGGCGGCGGCAAGCAAAGCTGCACAGGAGGGGGAGGGGGAGGAGGAGGAGGAGAGAGGCGCCCTCCCTCACTCACCGTCCCTCGGCGGCAGTCCTTCTGGGCCCTCGTGAGAGCCTCCTCGGCCGCCATCGCGTCGATGGCCGCTCGTAGCAGCCGCATGCGTACCAGGAAGGCCCGCTGCTCCACCTGTGCCACACGGGCTCGATCTCCCTGGGGCAGCCTGGCCAGTTTCGCCGCCTCTCCAGCAGCAACATCAGCCATGGCATTCCCACATACTAACCAACTCGGAACTCCTGCCGCTACTGCCTCAGCAGCCGACATGTGTGAATTGACAAAGAGTACAATGATATGCTCTGGAGGTCGAAACCGCAGCTCTTCTCCGACACGAGCCCACAATTCAGTAGACTCACCACTTGGATCCAAAAATATTTTGTCGTACCACCCATTGTACACAGCCTGATTGTCCGTGATCTACACAAGGTGGTCCATTGAACCACGTATGGCCATCCACAACATGTATAGCTCTCCTCTGGGAACTGTCTGATTGCCTGGCAACGGCCCCATGATGACGCCCTGGATGGCGAGATCCTGCTCGCTGTTGACTAAGACCAGGCCGCAGCCCACTCGCCGAAAGCGAGGGTCCCTGGAGTCAGGCCCCCCCGATGCATCACCAAAGAACACGACTGGCTGGGAGGGCGCTCCAGGTCCTGCTGCGTCGTCATAAACTCCATTACGAAACAATCCACTGCCGATCCATGCTTCCTCCGCACACGGGGGAGTGACCATCGTCCAACTTTGGGGAATCAACCCACGTAGCCAGAACGCCTGATCACATTCATGTTGAGCTGCAGCGGCTGGAAGCAGATCGTCAGACCGACGATATGCTTCGGCATCAGCATTCTTCTCGCAACTCCAGCTTCGATGGTAAGGCGACTCAACCTCATGGCGGCGCCGAGGACACATGGGGCATATCTGCTGCTTGGTGGTGGCGGCTGCTCGACGCTCGCGCGGCCGCGATCCTCCAGCACAGATGGAAACCATGACCTCGGCCAACCTCCTTCCTCGAGGAAGAGCTTCAAGATATTTGAGCAGCCACCCCAACGAAACATTGTCTACTCCACCTTGCAGGCCACTACCACAGAAATGCCGTGACTCATGCTGCCAATGCTGTGCTGCTGCTGATTGATCAAAATCATCGGAAAAGGCCTTCACATTATTGAGTGCAGGCTGCTCGTGATAAACTGCTTCGGGGAAGTCCCACGCGATCTCTTCAGACAGATGCCACTTGGTGGGGGTCTCAGGATGCCAGCCACGCTCCAACAACGTGAGGATGACTGCGGGCATCGGCCCTCTTGCCCATCTGGAGCGACGAGACGGTGGCATGGCCTCCATCCGCTGAAGCACCATCGGCCATGCACGGTACACTGATGGGCGGATGTGAGGGTGAGCAAACCACTGCTGCAGCCACAAAGCGACAACAGCATGGGGAAGTTTAACCCCTGGGTCTTGGC